GATTACCGAAATTCGATAATTTGACCGTAACTATGAATGATAAGCGTCACCATATCTTACCGCTGAAGGAAATCAAATATCTAGGAGTTATCATCGATTCTCATTTGAGGTGGGACTCCCACATCAAACTTATTATCAAAAAGATACAGATAATTTTATATAGATTTAAATACCTCAAAAAAATATTACCGATTCAACACCTAAAAATTCTTTATTTCGCACTAGTGGAAAGCCATCTTCGCTATGGAATACTAGGATGGGGAGCAGCTGCAAAAACATACATTCATCTCTTGGAAATCAGTCAAAAACGGTTTCCCAAACTCATTTTTTCAAAAGATCGACGGTACGACTCAGATCAGTTGTATCTAGAAACAAAAATCATGGACATCAGAAAACTATACTTTTTTCTCACACTCACGAAATATCATACCACAAAGCATACCTCACAAATAGCTACTCACTCATACCATACACGAAATCGAAATCAACACCTTGTACCCCATATGAGGAAAACATCAACCCAACGTTCTTTCGATTATCTGGCACCGAAATTTTATAATGCACTACCTGGACGGCTTGAAGGAATTGTATATCGTCCACAATGCAAAAAGGCATCATTGAAAAGTTTCATTCTTCAAAATCCAAGACAACTAGCTCATCAACACTTTGATGATCTAGTTGGCTAAAGGAATATATTCCTGATGGAATAAAAATGTGTACGGCTCAACTGCTAACCTCAATAATGCTAACATTATAGTAGTATAGTAGGCACAGTATTATAAATATTTATAGTATCGATTCTAGTATTTCTGAAGTTTTTGTCTCTTGATTGTTTGTTTATGTCCTTAGTTAGGTTCTTTTAATTATCGCTATATTAAGTTGTAATGAAACGTATTTTAATTTTAATTGCCAATTTCTCATGGATATTTTCATGGACATTTTCTGCGAAACAAGTGCGATGGCACTTATCGCTCAACAGCTTTATTCATTCACTAATTATATATTTATTATTATCATATCATTATTATTATTATATTCATTATTCATATATTTTGTTGAAATGTACTTGCCTGCGGGAGTAGTCGCTTTTTCGTTCGGAAATTAGAACGAGAAATGTGATTTTTTGTAAAGGTCGACGAACAAAATGTTCACTACCTGAATCGTACATTGAATTTCTCACTAAAGGACCTTTTTTTGTATAAATACCGATGGTGATAAAATATTTACGTTACCTGTTTTTTGAAATAACTTTGGACCGGAAGGAAGAACGAAACAAAGGAAACGATAAAGTGAATTGGATTTTCGTGAAGCGGACGTTAGTTGCTCAGTGTTGGAAAGTAAACCATTCACCCATAATTGCAATTCAACCCTCGTTCGAGGATTCTCGAACTGATGAAGAACTTTTATTAAATAAAAACTTCAAGGAAATTTCTAAACAGCATTTCAATGGCTACATTAACCTTTTATTCTCGAATTACTTTCGCGATGCACACATCAGGATATTCTTTTACAGAGAACGGAAAACAACTACTTTTATTGTTATGGTTCTAGATATTATCAAATATATTATGAATACTGTCTGTTCGTTAATTTAGATCCTCTCTCCTTGTCTCAACTGGAAATGAAATATTTCAATATTACTAGTAAGTAGTGAAGACAAATTCAAAATCAAAAAGAAAAACACCCTGTAACCCACAGATTTTTCTGACAGATTTTTCACTGAGGAGTATCAAAACACAAGAACGAAAACATAAATTTCAAAAATCATTTCTCATTTTTTTGCATTTGTTGAAAACGAGATGTATAGACCTCAGAAAAATGAATATCTATAGGTAGTTTTACAAAAATAACGTTAGTTCAAACTGATAATGTTATTTTGGATCTATTGTACTATTCAGCAATATTTCTTGACATGACATTCGAAATTGAAATAAATTTTGTTCTATCTTAGAAAAAATTCTGTGTGAAATAATATATTTGTCGCTCTCAGCATGATTACATCTTGCAACAATCATACATCTTATGCACTAGCATTGAGTATTCACTAGTGTATATAATCAAGGGCACTAGTTACATAAATAACTATTTTCGAACACATCGTTTCATTTTACATATCCCAAAAATCGGTTAGAACTCAGTAGCAAAACTAAAGAACAAAAAAATCAAACTCCGACACCGCCTGTATACATCGGAAATACATATCGTCACTGGGAAAGTAAAAGGTCTAAGGCCTCAACTCAAAGATAAATGAGTAATAAACATGACTAAAAAGTCCGTTTTTTTCTGCATCAATCTGTCGAAGTTTCATAGCATTCTGATCATTTAGCTGCTGGCTGCTTCATTCACCATAAAATGGGTACTTATAATTTGAAGTTTCTGCTCAAAAGACGAAGAAATTCATATTTCCCGAGACATTTCCCTACTATAGTGAAATAAGTCACCTCCAATATTACATTTTTTGAATTGACTCGGCCGTTAGTTGATGGAAATCCATAGCAAATGTTAAAACTTCACGAACGATGAGATTTCCACAAAATTCTTAGCCAAACGACATGCTTCGCTAACACAGTAGCTTCGTCAGGTGAAATAGGGTAATTATGGGAGAGATGGACCACCTTTTTTATTTCACTCATAAGTTCCTCGAATATAACTCGACTGAAATGAGACAATTCTCATTGCAAACTTTTCAATCTACTTTAATTCTAACGGTTCTCAAATACTTAGAAAATAAACAGGTTTTTTCGACAAAAATGAAAATCAAAAATCATATAATGGTCCAACTAACCCTGATTGTGCGGTTTAGTTGAACCATCTAATCGGGATAGTTGAACCACCAGGGGAGATGAACCAAATCCTTAGCTGGTATAACTTGTCCTGGCTTGTTGTTGAGTTGCAATCCCGTTTCGTCAATATTGAAAATATTGCCAGGTTTTTCAAAAAACTGATTAGTGGTCAGTATCGTTCCTAACAGCTCGAAGTAATTATTCACTGTGTCTCGACATTTTGCAGTGGAACGATTTACTGAAACACCTTCTGAAATTCTTATGCTCAGATCTTGTTGACTGCTGTAACCAGGCATATCCTGCAATTTTGTTGATTGTTTAAAACGGTGCTTCAACTTCAACTGTTCAGCAAGAGCAAATGCCATATACTACACATCCTTCCGTGTTGAGGCGAACCCAAATTTCTGTAGCTTCTTGATGTGTGCTACCAATTTCGCCTCATTTTCTTCTGCTAGCGTGGAAGACGGGCCCAATGACCCATTTTTTAGTTTGCCAGATTTCTTTCTTCTTAGTAAAGTAGCTTTTGGTAGATTGAAGTGTCTTTCTGCAGTATTCACCCCCATTGTATTAGCACCTATGGCTTCTATGGTATTCTTCAAGTCTTCTTCGGTCCAGGAAGCCCTTTTCGATCGCAATTTCCTTTGATATTTTGTAGGCATTTTGAAAAAATACTGCTCAAAACTGGTTCAACTCCCCCGATTTGATATGGTCCATCTATCCCGAACTTAAGGGGTAGATGGACCACTCCAAAATGAAATATATAACAGGAGAAAGGTATTTCCAGAGTATAAATATGAAAAACGCAATAATCAGCTCTGAGTTTGTATCAAGAAATCGAATTTTAATACTTACATTAGGTCAGAATCACAACAAAAAATTTGGGTTAGAAAATTTTCCACCACGTGTAAATACAAAATCGAATATTCTCAGTTTCAAAAGACATACATGCACAACGCAACTATTCGACCACAACATGTATTCGTTTGGCTACTTCACTATATTTCTATTCCTCTCCTTACACATCCATATTAGAAAATCGGACGCTGGTCCATCTCAGGCTGTGGTCCATCTCTCCCGTAATTACCCTACTGGTACAATGAAATAAACTAACCTTGGCTTGCCTAAACTTACTTTTCCAGCCTGGAATTACCTGTTGAAAGGTTCGATAAACCTTTATTTTCGGATAAATAGGCACAAAATCTATATTAAAATACGGTGTTACGGATTAACTCCACCACCGTCCACCAATATTCTATTGGTGGACGATGGTACGACAATAGGAGGTTCATTCGGGTTGGAACAATTACTGTTCTATAGAACTGTCAGGAGTTTTGCGCAGTAGACTCGGTCGCGTTCGGGTTTTGTGGAACTGTTCTAGGACTGACTCTTTACGCGTTCGGGTTTTTTCAGAATCATCCTCCGGCGGTCCTAAAACTAGGATCATTTTTGGCACATGCTCATTTCATTTAGTTTTCGATTCTGTCTATCGTAACGTAACGTCATAATGATATATTTTTGTTGATTCTACTGTTTATTGCTCTTTTCAATATTTTCTCAATATTATAGAGTTAGTACATCCATTTGATAGTAGCAGTTCTTCATATTCAGGAAGCAGTGGTGAAGAAGTTACTTATTGAAGTCGTTGAAAATATTGTACCTTATCTAATAATTCTCGAACTTTTGTTAGATAAACCGAAGAATAAAGTATTATGTTGGAGAGACTTTGCCATTATATTATTCTGATATACAATTCATTGAACACTCCAGGTGGGTGTCGAAATTCATGTAGGTACAATTGATAAAATCAATTGAAAACCCAGCTACGAATCCTATGATGGAATATATTCACCATTCCTCCACAGAGGATTTCCACAGATATTATGAATAAACTCAAAGGCAGTTTGAAGCTTCAAAATATTATTCGAATGAAGATACAGGTTTCAAACTATTGTTTTTTCGCAAATTCTGAATAGAGGTTATGTTCTCAGAGGTTCTCTTCTGCCGCGTTCGGAGTTTCATAATTTCTGAACCGTTCTGAAACAGTCCTAGGATTCGAAACGTCTGCGCACTAGTTCTACGCAGTTCGAGAACGATTCATGAACAGTTCTGAAATCGCAACCCGAATGAACCTAGGAACAACTCCACCAATCCTGGATCTCCCATTTAAACGATCTAGTTCTTCGAGTGATAACATAGTTATTCATACGTGTATTTCAGATACGACTATCGAAAGCACAGTCCCGTTACTAAATCATGCCACACCCCCTCTACGCTTTAGGCACGCTAGCCACCCTCCTCTGGACAATCGAATGCAACCACTACATCCGCCACAAATCCCACAAGAACAAATTCCTCAACTTTGATGAGGGCGATCTAACGCCCCTCTACGAGATCCCCCGAGCCTCTCTGTTGATGGAAAACGACGAAATCTCGTGGCCTGTGAAGAAGGAGGCTGTGGTGGAAGGCGACTTGATCCTCGGTGGTCTCATGATGGTTCATGAGAGAGAGGACACGGTGACCTGTGGACCGGTGATGCCTCAGGGGGGGATACAAGCGCTGGAAGCGATGTTGTATACTCTGGATAGAATCAATTTGGGAAAGACCCCTCACTTGCCAGGTATCAGGTTGGGAGCGCACATTCTTGATGACTGCGACAAGGACACTTATGGACTCGAGATGGCGGTGGATTTCATAAAAGGTGAGTAGCTGAGACAAGAAGTTTTAATATTCAGTTGCCAAGAGTTGTTGGGGTTAGGTCAGTACATTCTGACACGCAATATATTGTGCGAAATTACACGCGTTTGGCTGGCTCAAGGCCCTATAAAGATTATACGGAACCATTTTTATTTAAAAACAGAAGAAAAAAACGTCAAATTGTGCCAAAGTTCTGGTTCCCACGAGAAGGGATATCCTGTAATGTTCAGAGAACATCGTGAGAACCAAGGGAAATAAGGTAGGAATTGGTGTTCTTCTTGAATTTCTGGAGGTTATATGCCTCGAGGAACACCTCCATTGGCAATGTGTTCCAGAGCCTCGCTGTTCGTTGGATGAACGAGTCTTTGGAAAGAGATGTTCAGCATCAGGTCTCCAAAGTAACCACGAAAGGGTGCGAAGCCTCAACTCGATGGGTTGATCTCGCGGGGACTGCCAAGGGAGATACAATTGTTGATGTTTCAGAAGTGCCATCGTCCATGAAAATATCTATGAAATAGAGCCAGATCACCAACTTTCCTACGGTGTTCCAGAGAAGTGAGTGAGTTTGTGAGCGATTCATCACCCACGAGACGAATTGCCTTCTTTCGGACAGAATCCGATTTTCGCAATTGATCCCACGTGATTTTCCCAAGAAAGGTTATTGCTGATAGTAATACCAAGCATCGAATTGGATGTCTTCAAAGGTATGGTTAGTCTTGACATGCTTATGTTTGGCACAGTGCGATCGGCTTTTCTAGAGAAAATGCATGCTTGTCTTTTGTTTGCATTGAAATCTACCAAGTTATTGGATCCCCATTCGAGAATTGTTGCCAGGTCCATATTTATGTCGTCAACATTTCTCCCTCGTTCGTTTCTGATTTGCCTGGCTGGTATTGGAGCCCTGGAAGAGAAGGCAGTATGGAGGGTACTATCATCACTGGACATGGACATCATTTGAGTTCAATCCCTATTTGATAGTGTTTGAGTTCCCTGACTCCAGGGTATACCCACTAAACACTCCACCCCATTTGTTGGCTCGTCTGACTGATGTCTCTGAGGATACCCAGGCCTAGTGGCCCATTGTATCTTACCTAAATGGCGTTATCAAATCTACCATATACTACTCATGGTGCTCATTAAGGGCCACTTCGATATGGAAGAAACTTTTCGTTCAGGTTCCTAAAGATTACTCTTCCGATCCCTGTTCTCATCTACGAAAAAGGCCAAAAGTTTTCCTTCTCCTACGTGTGACGGGAGAAGGGGTTGGTCCAGTCCTGTGGTGCCCTCTGCACAGGGCTAAGGCTGTTTACTCTGAGATGTCGTTCTGTTTCCCAGAGGCTGCGTTAGCGACACCATTCCTCGCTGCCATTCATCCATCGCCTGAGCATCGTTGAGCAGTCCTTGGAACCTAGACAAATATTAGTAAATCGCCCCATCCTTACCATCAATGTCCACAGATAATTGTCCCATCTGGCACGGAGATAGCAAAGATAGTCCAAAATGCTTCATCTGTCGAGCGGTCGCAGTTTCTCCTCCCCAAACCATTTGATGGTGATGTTGGGCTTGTTGAGGAATAGGAAAAGAGAAGTTGGCCAAGAAAGGTCGATAGGATAGATTGAAGAAGCAAGAGAGAAGAGGATATCACCTGTTTTCTAAACGGTTTATCGTCATTTCATGAGAGGTGACAGGTATGACCTTTAATTGCTACCTTTGAGTTCTTCATGTCGATTCAATTATGAATATAGCGCCCAGGTTGGAGAAATACTTCAAAACCTGCACAAAGTAGCCCTGTTTCACCGTATCAGAATTTGCTACAATGAATGAACTTTTTCCAGGTGATGAATTAGGAGATGAGATATCCTTGGGAGCCAAAAGTAGTGCTATTTTCCTGCCTATTGGTTGATTTTCTGAAACTGCGAATGGGGTTTCTGTTGGCACTAGTCCTCAGACCAGAGGGTTATGGGTCTTGTGTAACTTGAAGGATATCAGGAGTAATATCTGGAGGTTGTTCGCCCATTATCATTTTGCTGTTTTGCTCTGTTCTCAAGAACCAATCAGAATCTACCATTTTGCCCTACCGTTGGTCGGGCTATAAAGTTTTTGTCTCGGGATTTGGAATACCACTTTAGCCCCTAGGTGAATAATGTACTATTTAATTGTCGGAGTGACAAACACAGTGTTAATGTTCGATTCAGTGAAATTTCCACAATGGATTATTTACATGTGTGATCAAAACCTAGCTACAGATGCGTTATTGCTAACGAAGTCTTAAGAAAGGTATGAGAAGTAATACACGCGTTTTATTGAATGGTGCTAAAATGAAAAAATTGAAACACCAAAGTACTGTTGGCTTATTTCCTTATGTCGGAAACCAACATGCCGAACACTTTATGCGTCAAACTGTACATCATTCACAATAGCTATTACTAATTATTATTAGTAAATAGAGAATATAGTACTATTGTTAGTTGTTCCTATTTCCATTGAATAAATCAGTTAATTTCCTACGCTTGTGAAAAAAAATATTGTTCCTAACTCAACCTGAAAGTGTCTTTCCCGCATTCGACTGCTTGCCCAAATTCCGCTTCGCGTCGTTCAGGTCAACGGCAGTTGCGTGCGGGAAAGTGTATCTTTTCGCACTTACTTTACTTTACGCAATTTCAGGAGAATCAACTTGCGAATGTTATGATTGATTTTGAAATATGCCACTATAGGTTAGACCAAAGGAATAAAATTATTCACATTGGCCGCATTTTGAAGGGTCTGAAGGACATATTATGTTATACATGAAATGAAGGGTGTTGTTTTTGAGAATAGGGAGTTGATACCTAAATAATATGTGCATGAAATATTTTGGGTATCGACACCTAATCTTATGATGAACATGTAATACAGGGTGTTCTATATTTCAGAATCGGAAGTTGATATCTCACCAAAATAATTTGGCTATGAATTATCTCACAAGTCAAATCGGATATCGCTTTGTATATGTACCAATTGATAAGCTGATGTACATCTCGCATGATAAAGCAGGAGCAGAATGATCCACCGTTGATCTTTCGTGAGAATCCTTGAAAAGAATATAATAGAGAAAATATAACGACCATCCCGAGACATGCAACGAATACTAAAACGGTACTTTGGTGCCAGATGCAATATATCACTTCCGAGGAAGGAGAACAATTAGTCTTCTAGATGAAAACTGCCATATATTTTTCTCGGAAGCTAGGGAGATCTTTATGGGGTGATATACGGTCTGATTTAATGACGACATATTATTTGTGTCACATTTTCCGCAATAGAATTGTAGAGGGATACACTCCAGATATGATGGAGATGATTAGATTCCACTTAGGAACTGTAGATCCCGCTCTTCGTAATTTCCATCGGAGCCTCTTCTCTCAATTGACATTTGACAGCATATTTAGTTCACTATTATTAGTTGTTGTCCCTATTCAGTCCTTCTTCAGCAATAGTTATAGTTCCAGGACATCAGCAGGGTTTATAATATATTCATGATTATGAAGCAGAAATTGGAGCCTTGAATTCATCCAATTAATTCTTAGTGGTGATATTTTTAATTTTTCAGAGGCAGCACTCAAAGGACTCCTCATCCTGCTCATATAAGATTTTCAACATCAGACCCTTTATCAAAAGTCAATAACTCTCAACTCATTTGCCACGTTAACAAGATTAATATTTTTGTTCCCCTTTGAAGGAGATATAATTGGAAAACACTCATCCAATTATCTCGTTTTTGGATGTGTTGACTCAATGTGCTTTTAGTCATAAAGATGAATGGAATATAAACAAAAATTGAACAGCCGACAAATTAATTGAAAAAATGTTCAGTGAAATTGTATGCAGGGAGTTCTGGAAAGATTTGAACATCGCATCGCTTGTTTGATTATGGAAATTTGAAATTTTGAGATCTGTTGGTTGCATTTGAAGAAATATCTAAAATAGTTGGCCAGCACTGTTTGTTGTTTGCCTATGGAAGTAATGGAGCGAAGAGATGATGTACTTATATCAATTTCTGTTTCATGAAATTATTCTCAATCCTAGCGCGATTTAGTTATGTGGATAAACTATAGTACTAATTTAATTTTGTGAAACCTGTTGAGTTCAAAGGACCCCGCACTAAACTATAGGGAAAATGGCTCTCGATGAAAATCGCTGAATTTTTGGTATGTTGCAGACTTTTATATACTGAACAGATATCCCAATAAATTAACCTCAAAAAATGGACAGTTTTTCTGATATTGACCTCCAAATGTCATTTTTTCGAGAAAACAAAAGTATCGGAAAATGTTAGAATTTTTGGCATGTTGTAGATAGGAATGAACTTGTGAAAAAATCCAATTGACATAACCCCCAAAAATTGACAGTTTTCTCGATATTGACCTCCAAATGTTATTTTTTCGAGAAAAAAAAAACTGAAAATGGCTGAATTTCTGATATGTTGTAGATAGGAATGAACTTATGAAAAAATTCAATCGACTTAACCTCAAACAAAATTGACAGTTTTTTCGACATTGACCTCCAAATATAGTTTTCTCGGAAAATAATCCATGAAAATGGCTGGATCACGTAGGTTTGTTGTTGATATGAATGAACTGATGAAAAAATCCTATTGACCTTAACGCAAAATATTGATAGTTTTACTGCTACTGACCCCTAAATGGTTTTTAAACAACTGTATGAAAGTTAACCTTCAAAATATTATTCTGTACATTTCCAAGGTCAGGAGAGTCAGGAAAAAATAATGTTTCATCATCATCGACGTTTCGTCTTTCATTATGAGGCATCCTCAGAAATATATGAGTAAACCTACTAGCAAAATGAGTCAATTATGTTATGTTGCAGCTTCGATTTTCAAACACATTTTCCTGAACATCCTCATATAGGTGATTAGATTTTTGAAGTTTTTCAGGTTTTCATTTTATTTTGATAACTTTTTTCATGTCTTTTCTGTGTCATTTTGCCCATCACACACATCATTTT